GCCTGGGATGTCTGGCATCAGGAGATGGAGATGCAGCCTGAGATGTCTAGGCATTAGAAGCTGGGGGGGCAGCCTGGGATGCCTGGGCATCAGGAGCTGGTGGTGCCACTTTAGGCGCTGATTTGGGCGCCTTTGGAGCTGTTTTGTGCAACTTTGGAGGGCCAAGCAGCGTTGGGCTGCCCCGTTTGGGCGAGCAAAGGTGGTCAAACACCTCTCCAAGTGTTAGGCTACCTCGTTTGGGCGAGCATAGAGCGTCAGACACCCCTCCGAGTGCTAGGCTGCCTCGTTTGGGTGAGCACATAGGATCAGACACCTCTCCAAGTGCTAGGCTGCCTCGTTTGGGCGAGCATAGAGTGTCAGACATCCCTCCAAGTGCTGGGCTGCCTCGTTTGGGTGAGCACATAGGATCAAACACCTCTCCAAGTGTTGGGTTGTCTCGTTTAGGGAGCACATAGGATTAGACATCTCTCTAGGTGCAGGGCTGCCTCGTTTGGGAGAACAAAGAGCGTCAGACACCCCTCCAGGTGTTGGGCTGCCTTGTTTGGGCGAGCACATAGGATCACGCACCTCTCCAAGTGTTAGGCTGCCTCGTTTGGGGAGCACATAGGATCAGGCGTTCCTCCAGGTGCTGGGCTACCTCGTTTGGGCGAGCAAAGAGCGTCAGGCACCCCTCTAGGTGCTGGGCTGCCTCGTTTGGGCGAGCACATAAGATCAGGCGCCTTTGGAGCCTAGTTGTGATGACAAAAATAATGTTATTCCAAACATTAAAATATCTCACATAATTACCTATAGGGAGAGGTAGGTTGCTTGCGCGAGAGCAAAGACAGAGTTGAAAAACTGCTCGTGAGAGAACTACGCCTTTTGAGACCTAACTTTTGGCGACCCATGAGAGGGTCTTTAAGCTTGAGGTATAGACTGTCTGTTTGAGAACAACGTAGAGGCCAAGCTTTTAGCGACCCGTGAAAGAGCCACTCAGCTGGAGATATAGGGTGCTTGTTTAAGAACAATGTAGAGGCCAAGCTTTTTGGCGACCCCTGAGAGAGTCGCTAAGCTGGATACTGAGACTGTCTGTCTAGGAACAGTGCAGAAGCCAATCTTTTGGTGACCCGCAAGAGAGTCGCCAAGCTTGATATTTGAGGCTGCTTGTTTGAGAACAACGCAGAGGCCCAGCTTTTGGCGACTCGTAAGAGAGTCACTATACTGGATATTGAGGCTGCCTGTTTGAGAATAGTGCAGAGGCAGACCAAGTTTTTGGCGACCCGTGAAAGAGTTGCTAAGCTGGATATTGAGACTAGCTGTTCGAGAACAGTGTAGAGGTAGGTCAAGCTTTTGGAGATCCGCGAGATGATTCACCTCGCTTGGACCTGTTGATTTTCTCAGCATTCATATATTTTTGAGCTTTTACCAATAGTTCTGGCATGCTCTTTGGTGGTCACTTCATTACTGAAAAAAGGAATCTGGATGTGTGGAAGGCTCCCAGAAAGGTGGTCATGATGACTTTGTCATTGGGCTCCTCGATTTGAAGGACCTCCTCGTTAAAACGAGTGAGGTAACTTCTCAAACTCTCGTCTCGATCCTGTTTTATGTTGAGTAGATGGGTGACATGCTTTTGTTGGCGGCATCCACCAATGAACTGTGCCACAAATGATTTACTCAATTCGGCGAAGGAGCCTATGGAGGCCAAGGTGAGTTTGGTAAACTATTGTTGCCCTGATCCTTTCAAGGTAGTTGGGAATGTCATACACATAATTTCGTCGGGGACGTTTTGCAGTTGCATTAAGGACTTGTAGGTTTTCGAGATGATCAAGTGGATCCTTCGTTCTGTCAAAAATTTCCATGGATGACATTTTGAACTTTTGAGGGAGGGGGTAGTTCACCAAGTCAGGTTTGAAAGGCGTGTCTGTGGGGTGCCCAAGGGGACTCCAAAGGGGGCGCCCAGACTTGCATGGGCGCCCAAATAGGGAGCAACAAGTTGTGGAATTCCTGGATATCCAGGGCGTGCAACTCCTTGATGTCCAAGGCGTGGAGCTCTTCGATGTCCAGGGCACGGAGCTCCTTGATGTCCAAGGCGTGCAGCTCCTTGATGTCCAGGGCATGAAGTTCCTTAATGTCCAGGGCATGGAGCTCCTTGAGGTCCAAGGCGTGGAGCTCCTTGGGGTCCTCCACGCTGTGCTCCTCCTTGTTCAGCGAGCATAAGTTGCAGTGTCTACTGGTTTTAGGCTACTAGCTGTCGCATGGTCTCCAACATTTGTTGTGGATTTGGAGCTGGAACATTTGGGACAGAGTTGGTAGGTGGAGGAGTAACCTCCTCCTCTCGTGGAGGATTGTCTTCAGGTTGGTTCATGGATCTGGTAGTGATCGCCATTGGTTCAACAAATAGAATATTTGAGAGTGAGAATTTTGTAGTTTCCCACAGACGGCGTCAAACTGATGATGCACAAAATAGTTTTGCACACCACCTGTCAAGTGTGAATAATAAATGCAAGAGTAAAGTAAGGAAATTGAGAAACACAAGTAATTTATACTGGTTCGGTCCACTCTTGAATGACTCTAGTTGCCGGGTACTTTATTAACTCAAGGGAGTGAAGAGCAGAGAGTACAAGCTTTGAGAGAGAGGAGATAGTCGTGCTCAAGTTAAGTGTGATTTGCCCCCCAAGTGTTTGTGGGGCTTATAATTTATAGTCGCCCTCCTAACAGATTTGGACAAGATATTAGTAAGTAGTTGACTAGTTTGTTGGATCTGGCGAGCTCTTCTCAACATGCTAAGCAGTTGCGATGCTCTCCATGAAATTCGGTCAAAGAATGAGGTGGGGTGACCATCTCCAGAGTAGCGAGGATAAGGCTTTGGATAACCTTAGTTGCTCCCTTAGCTCCTTGAGCTGCTGAGCTTGATCGGGCTGATCACACTGATGAGCTTGACCGGATAGAGCTGATGAACTTGACCGGGTTGACCACACTAGGCTGAATTCGCTGAATCTCTTAAAGTCGAATTATAAACTTGAACCGGACTTATAACATGAGTTGAGTCTTACCCCATCAGATATATATAGTTTGAACAAGTAAATATAATTTCTTACCACTTTATGGATTTCAAAATCATTAAGCGAAAAAGATAGGCGGTCCCCTAATGGCTCTGCAGCCCGTCATTAATTTCACTTGTCTTATTCTTGTTTATATTTGTTTCTTCCAAAAGAAAGCAAAAAGGAATAATTAAATAACAGTATTGATTAGAAACCTTTTTGGGCAAATTATATATTTTAAAATGATAAAAAAAACAATATAGATACAAAAAAAAATTCCCCATGTAATTTTCAAATTTGTAAATTCAGATTTCCCTATACGTTTCTTAAAAACATTTCATCGTACACAAACTGATCCATATAAAAAACATATTATTTTATTTTCTTTTGTTTCATATCGACTTTTAATCAGTTTTGCTTTCCATCGTTGTTTTGGATTTTTCACAAAATTGACCCTCTTTAGATGTACCATTCTACATTTATCCTGTATGAATTTGAATTTTAATAAAAATAGTAAAACAGTATTGATTACAGACCTTTTTGGGCAAATTATTTATTTTGAAATGGTTAAAAAAATATAGATAAGAAAAAATAATCCCCCTTGTTACTTTCAAGTTTTCAGATCATAAATTCAGATTTCCCTATACCTTCATCCTACACAAACTAATCCAAAAACATTATAGAAAAAACATATTCTTTTATTTTTTTTCTTTCTTTCATGTCGACCGTTAACCACTTCCACTTTCGATCGTTATTTTGGATTTTTTTTCAAAAATAGACCCTATTCAAATGGGCCATGCTACATACACCCCTTACGACTTCGAATATCAATAATTTAGCAGTTGATGAGGACTGTTGATAGTTCAGTACTTTGGGAGTACACTCCAGATGGATAGGCAAAAGCAGCAAAAGCTAGTACTAGCATTGCAACCAAGCAATTACAAAAACAGAAGATTTCATTTCTTTCAATTTGCTGTCTTTTTCATAACTAAAGCCATCCTGCAACTCAAGATGAGAAGATCAAATTCTTAATCCTGAGTCAAAAAAAAGGCGACTTGCAAAGCACTTACAAAGCATGAAAAGAAAAAGAAAAAAACAATTTTCCCAGACACAAACCAGCTATATTTCTATAACATTGAATACATGCTTCAATTATAACATCCCCCGCCTCATCACAGCCGCGGATGAATTGAATTCCATGGTGTATTTCAGATAGTATAATAACTTTAATGTCGCGTCACCAGACACTGGTAACATGTTCCAGATTGTCAGCATTTAGTCTCTTCTCCATCCAGTCGATAATATCCTGTGCAATTTCTTCACGCTCAGGCTCGAAGAGAAGATCATGCAGGAAGCCATCATACAGCTTTATGTCTTTGAACTTGGAGGCTGCCTCATTGAACAAATCCTGGGAGGCCAATGGATCAGTCACTTTGTCAGCAGTTCCATGAAGGACAAAGAATGGGACCGTCACAGACTTGAAGTTACGCATCAAGTAAGTAGAGATGCGCAAAATCTCATGCCCTGTTCGGACCCTTATGGGTCCAGTATAGACCAAGGGATCAGAGTATTTAGCTTCAAGTGCCGCGGGATCTCNAATAATTAGTAAATTAATAAATGAGTAGAATATAGATAAAATATTTTTTTGATAAAAACCCATTAAAACCTGATATAACCCACCTCATCCGACATTATCGAAAATCCTACATTCAATCATGTGTGTTCGCCTAATATTGCCCCTCCAGTTTTTTGGCATTTTGCCTACTAATTTTTAAAAGCAAATAAATGTCCTGACAAAATAAATAAAATAAATGGGTTCGTATCAGTTTTATTGTTTATAGGGTTTATCTTGATTAAGTCTCTCATCACACTGATTATTGTTGTGCAATTTCAGTGATAAACTGTCGAATTTGTTTTGATTAGTTGATCTTTTGTTTTTTCAAAAGCCAGAGGCTTTCGTGACAAAGCAGATTAAAGAGAATGAGTTCTGCAAATGGGTCTGGAGATTTGTCATCAGAGATGGAGGTGGATGCTTTTAGACGCCTTTTCCCTCTACGCTTTCATGAACGCCATCTGCTTGAATCAGTACGACCTGATGGAATGGAAGGCTACTGGGAAAAGCTAGAGGTACAACAGTGGCCCTTGGTTAGTTATTAATCTTTGTATGTTTTCTGAAAACTTGTAATTTTATCCTCTGATTTGGGAAATGCCTAAATTCGTATTCCTATTCTAATTAACTCCTTTAATACAGGAGCTGTTGCATCTGCTGATGGATCAGCACTAGCAAAAGATTGGTTGCACCGTAAGTGTTTTGCACATCAAACTTCTCTCTCTCTGATGACGTGTGGGATGAGGTTTTGTTGCGTTGGGACGATTTATTTAAATCATATCATGTTATCTGTGGTGGGTAATGGCTCTTTGCAATTAAAACTAATTCAAAGTCTCACATCTTGTGTTCTTGCACAGACCATGCTGGCTGCTATTAAAATGGAGGTCATGACACCTACGGTGGACTCACAAGATGAGGGCTACATAGCTTTAGCATCATCACTGGCATATTTTCTTCTACTGTTCTTCCTTGATATTCAGCCGCAGATGGTGTAAATATGTAAATTTCTATTTCCAGCTGTTGATTTCCACATGCCTCCAATTTGTTCCCCAATTGTTAGGCCTGGCAGGCCAGCCGAGGTAGCACCAGTTGTGTCAAAGCAGTTGTCTGACATGATCTTAGGGCATGTCGTTGCGCTATTCGGTTAAATTGTACTACTGTTTGCTAAGTAGTTTTTTTCCACTAGTTAGTTTGGTATTGCTTTAGTCTTTAGCATTAATCATATGCCTTCAAAATCCATTTGTATCCTGTATATCTATGCCGGAGGTGGTTTATTTTTTGTTTATTGTGCCTATTGTTACGTTTTCATATCACTAACTTAGTCGTGCAATATCTTTAAGGAAAAACTAAAAGAAAAGATAAACATAGTCCTGCAATGTACCAATACCTGTAAAATACCGAAGCTTAATATTCTAGTTCATTTTTTTCATCGAGTATAAAGGCAATTTTCGTTGGACATAATTAGTACCAAACTTTCCATTCAATATAAACTGCTCATCAGTTATTGGAGGTGTTATCATATTTCTCAACGTTATTATTACAGTGGTGTGGATTGGTTTTTTGTTTTTTTTTTGTTGAGACTATTGTAGTGATTTGCCAGTAATAATCGTGTCATACTTCACATTTTTTAGCTCCCTTTGTCTTTGGGGTTTCTTTATTTTTTTCCTGGGCTTGGGGATTGGGGGCTGGCTTTGAAGAATTTTTTTATTCTCTTTGCTGTTGCATTTCCTTGTATTCACAAACTAGCTCTGTGATGTTTTTTGACAATTTTAATACAACACTATGCATGCCTTCCTGGCTCTACAAAGTATTTCTTCCCTAATATGCTTACCCTTGTATTTTCTGGGTCTGGTTTATGGTTGTCTTTAAATGACTGATTATTCGGTTGTAGTTCTGGCATGATCAATATGAAGGAATTATCACTGGTCAGTGGGAAAGCTACTTGGATGGCTTAACTGGTAATGTATTCCAACTTCAGATAAATTCGGGAAGCATGTCTTTGAAAAATGATGTTGGATCTGAGCCTTTTGAATATGAATTGCGTGATCCATACATATATGGCTTTCAATCTTTTGGTTACTAGTCATAGAGTGTTCTTAGCATGAGCCTTTGGTAAACTATAATTAACACTACTAATTGTTCTCTATTGATAACAAAGATCCATATCTCCTTCTCTTGCAGGACATATATTGTTTGGATGCTGATGGTGCTCTTTTGGACACGGCATTACTTTCAGCAGTTGCTGCCTTCTCCAATTGTAAGTTCGACAAGGCTCTACTATTTGCAAACTTACTATAGGCTTTATCACAACTTGGGAGTCATTTTAGGAAATAAATTTTATTATAACTCATGTTTTCTTTTCTTATATGCATATTTTTTCTCATGTGAGTTGTGAAGCTTGTATCATCGTAACTAACAAATGCTAGAGCAACCACTATAAATTTTCCAGTAATGAATGAATGACTTCAAAAATATCTTTCGTTTAGGAAGTATTTTGTTATTCTTATAAAAATGTTTCTATTGCCTAAATTTTCTTAGTGGATTTGTCTAAAATCATAGAATTGACTAATGCTTGCCAATGTAGACATCTCTTGGACCCAGAGTTCATGGGTCCCACATGGCCCGAAAATTCATGGGTTGTGTCTACAATAATCGAACTCGAACTGAGCTTCTTTACAGTTCAAAGCCTTGTCTAGTATGTTACTCTCAACACATCAGTAAAATTTTTGGTTTTGCAGTACAAATTCCTGTAGTTGCTCTGAATGATGATGGAAGAATAGTAGTTATGTCCGAGGAAAACGAGGGAGGAAAATTAGAAAAGAAGCCGGTTAACAAAGAGAAGAGGAAGCTCAAGTTGAGCAGCATTCCGTTCACCTTAACATGCATACTTCACAAGAATTATGTCCTGGCCCACCCTACAGCAGAAGAGGAGTCAATCATGGAAACTCTTATTACTGTGGTAATTAATTTATCTGGTTAGCTTGTGTCTCTTTACAAGCCTGGTGGACCAGTTCTTGCCTACACATCAGCTATACAGGTTAGTTTGCTCCAAGTTCATATGATGATGGGCAGGGGCGGAGCCACCATTGGACTTGGACCAGGGTGGGCACGTGCCCCCCCTAATTTTTTTTTTTTTTTTGACATTAGATATAAATTTTTGAAAATAAAATTTAGATATATTTAATTGTGCTTACCTTCAATTTTTTTTTTACATTATATATATATTTTTTTAAATAAAATTTAGACATATTTAATTGTGTCCACCTTAGTATTGTGTTATTGTGATATCGATTAAGATAGACGGCTACTTAAGTAATAATTAATTTTTAAATAATGATATTGAAACTAATACATTGTGATATTAAATTTAATAGCGAGTCCTTACATTTAATAACATTTACTATCCATCCAATGGTCACAAACTATTGGGTTCCTACTAATTAAATTTTAAATTTTTTTTTGTCAAGATATAAAATTAAATTTTGAATTAGATGCAATTACTATTATTCTTAAATTTTTAGATACAGACATGTCCGAATAATTTTTAGATATATCGTGGTCATTTTTATAAATTATAGAATTATTTTTTTATTTTATAGAAATGAGCGTCATTATGTAATAAATTATAAGGTAATAAATGAAAGACTGTTATTACCATTTTGTATATAGAAAAAAAATATTTATTGATATCATTGATTTGTAATTTTTTTAAATGATAAACAATAATCAGATTCAATTGTAAAATGATAATAATTAGTTTCATACGAAGTTTTAATTAATTTACTGTTATTTTTTATTTGTTAATAACATGCAAATTGTTTTTTAACCTTTTATGTTTAATGAATTTTTACGCATCATTATAGTAAATATGAATTTTTGAACTTCGATGGTCAATTGAAAAAACAAATGAAAAATGTTATTTAGATCTAATTTGATGACATAATTCAATACACCCCTTTAATTGGAAGTAGACTTCATCTAACATTGAAATTTACAACTACAATAACAATTACATTGAATTAAGTCTATAAAATTGATAAAAAAAAATTAAAATTTATTATGTGCCCATCCTAAAGTATTTTTTTGGCTCCGTCCCTGATGATAGGTGTTGAGGTTCTCAAATGACGTAACTAAGAAGACATGTAAAATGTACTAAATATGGTTTTGCACATTTAAGCTGTAAAATAGAAAGACATATAATAAAAACTGAGGGCCTTAAAATGGTTTTGTGCGACTAAGATGCATTTAGAGGTCGTTTGGTAACGTTTTTGTTTTCGCGTTTTGAAAAAAATTAAAAATAGAGATAATTTTTGTCTTTATTTTGTGATAAACACTAAAACAGAAAATATGTTTGGGAGTCATTTTGTCTAAATTATGAGAATAAAAACAAAAAATATGTTTGGTAACTATTTTAAATTTTATTTGAAATATGTTTGGTATCTATTTGACAATTAAATCTCAAATCAACACAACATATGCACGGATCTGTGTATATATGCACAGATAAAAAAAGAAAAGCATATAAATCTGCAAGATTGAATATCGAAAATCCTTTCGAGAACCGATAGGCATGACACTAATCTTCCCATTTTCAGAAATCGAACAGAAGACCTCTGGTATCTGCAAGTCCATTCAGTGTATCCAGGAACTGAACAAGAACCCGTAGTTCCTTTCAGATTGCAATCCCTAAGGACAAATCCATGGGATCTGAGGAGCAGTGTAAACTTTGTTGGTGAGGATTGGACAAAGAGAGTTGTTAATTGTAGTTGATGGAGGAATAAATTATAATAAGTCAATCTCTTGCAAGCCATAATCTGTGCATATATACACGGATCAATCTCTTGCAAGTCATAATTTGTGCATATATATGCATAGCTTCTGGGTTTCACAGAGAAGAGGGAGAGAGAGAGAGACAACGATGGGGAGGAGAGCGACAACGATGGTGAGGAGAGAGGCAGTGATGGGTTTCTTTTGGTTGTCTGATACAGAGAAAGGAGAGAAAAGGGAGAGAGGAGGGAGACGGAGAGAGGGGTGAAATGAGTTTTTATTTTTCAACAAAAAAATTCTTGTTTTGCTATTAAGAGGAGTTGAAGTGCAGATCTCATTAATTCCTAAACTTTTTTGCGCGTTGTCTTTGTTTTTGGTGTTTCTTGGAATATCTTTTTTTTGTTCTCATTTTTTTGTCTTTGTTCCCATTTTTTCCAAGACAATTAATATAAAACAAAAACAAAAACAGTACCCAAACATATTTTTTGTTTCATTTTTGACAAAAATTGAAAACAAAAACAAAAAACATAAGGCAAAGACACTTACCAAACAACCTCTTAGTTTTCCTTTGGTGAAATCGAAAACCTTGGCAGCGATATTGTTTCATTTGGCCGATATATTGCAATGCTAAGTTGTAAAATAGATCGACAGATAACCGAAACTGAGGGTCTTTTGACTAAGTTAACAACCACCGGTCCGTCAAATATACAAAAGTTGTTTTGTGTTTTTTTTTCTTATCCATCAAACTTTTTTTTTTAGCATCAACTCCCATAGAAACTGAGGGTCTTTTGATTAAGTTAACAACCACCATTCCGTTAAATATACAAATACTGTTTTGTGTCTTTTTTCTTGTCCAGGCATCAACCCCCAGTATGGTGTATGTGATGTCAAAGTATACAAATGATACTGTTTGGTAAATAACAGCTGCTAATGAGAAGGCTTGCTGGGTGCAGGATTGTGTCGCTTTGACAAGACAGAGAGTGAAAGAACTTGAGATCATCTTGGATGAAGTCATCTCTACCATGGAAGTGGACTAAATTGTAGAAGACTGACATCAACGGCAACAACTGGCTGGTAGCTCGTCTATTTTTCCAAATCATTCCAGCTGATTGTCTTATGTTTTTGAGGTGATATCAGAAATTTTGAGAAAATGTTACGAGGCAGAGTTGCTAATGCATTTTTGTCGCACTTGTGGAAATTTTTCTTATTCATCTTGAGTAACGAATAGGGTAGCTATTTTGCTGCTGAGTGTATAAAAGTGGGGGTCATTATTTCTTTGGTCATATTAATTTTTTATGTTTACTAGGTCGAAAGGGTATAGATGAGTTTGACTATGGTTGCTTTTACCGTCATAAAATCGTGCATTTGTAGTGACAACTTAGGATTATGTCCTTCTCTTCTTACGCATCCTACATGTGACAGCAGGATAGCCAGATACATTCATGAGAAGTATGATTGGCATTTGAATGAGTGATGGTCCTTGAATGTATATGATTGGCAGTTGAGCGCGTGATGGTCCTTGAATGTATATTTTGGCTATCGTCGTTGATGCGAGTCATTAACATNGCATTTGAATGAGTGATGGTCCTTGAATGTATATGATTGGCAGTTGAGCGCGTGATGGTCCTTGAATGTATATTTTGGCTATCGTCGTTGATGCGAGTCATTAACATCACAGTGAATAGAATACAAATTATCAAATAAAAACTGTTTTCAACTTTTACAATCAATTCATGAACCAAAAAAAAAACACAAGGCAATGATATAACACAGAGAAACTTGCAAAAGTTTGAAAAATTAACAATTATGAACAATGTTTCTANATCGACGACGTCTGTGGTTTCTCTTCAGCCATCGACTGTGGGTGGCGATCGTTATAGACTGTCTTTGGTTTCTCTTCAGCCATCGACGACGAGTGGCGATCGCTATGGGTGGTGATCGACTGTGGTGGTGATCGGCTGTGGGTGGCGATCGGCTGTGGGTAGTGATCGACTGTGGGTGATGATCGACTGTGGGTGGTGAACATTGTAGGTGGTGATCGCTGTGGGTGGTCTTCGACTGTGTGGGTGGTCTTCGACTGTGGGTGGTCTTCGACTCTGGGTGGTGATCGATTGTGGGTGGTCTCCAACTGTGGGTGATTGCCGGTCTTCGTCTGTGGGNAAAAGAAACAAATACAGAGTTTGGTGTTGACATATGTGGTACATGTTTTTCTCCTCCCTAGCAAGTTGTTTTGTGTCGAAAAACTGTTTTTACCTTCACACTAACTCCATTAGCAGTGGATCACCCGCTGCCATTATTCTAATCAGCTTTATGAACTCCTGCTCACTGGCCACATTCCAAGGGTGAATTGCAGGCACTTCGGCAGAATAAAATGTTGAAGAATTAGTAGGCGGTTTTTGCTCATAAATCATTGCATTGAACACCGAGTCAAAATTCTGAGGCGAGTCCATTGCCATGAAGAACAGTGGTATTGCAACCTTGTGATGGATATTAAGATCGCCCACTAGATTTACAAGATCACTAAAGTCTGCTACAAATTTCCGAGGAATGTAGAATACCTCAGAATTACATATTGTAAGGCTCTGGTCATTTTTCATGGATTCTTTGTAATTGACTTGCAAGTGAACTGGCATTGTACTAACAACTTTCTCTACCAATTCTGCTTGCTGTTTAAACCAGTCTGAGTTTCCATCAATTGGGACAGCAGTCCAAGACTTGGAGACCTACAAGCATAGAGTTTTTCAGAGAGAGAGAGAGAGAGAGAGAAGATTGTTGGTGGTTGATGGTAACATATCGGCTTGTTATTCTTGGTCATTCATTCAGACAATAGCATTAATATATTGTTTTAATCATCCATATATAGGTTTCTTCAAACTAAATTAACCTTTTACCATTCAGCAGTAATGGCCCCCCATGCATTACCAAGATTAACATTCTTCAAGCCCTCAAATTTTCTTTTGCAAACAACAGACATAAATGGGTGATAGAGAAGACGAGTTTTGCTGTTCGTTTACCTTGTCCGTGATCCAGAGCTTAAGCTTGTCTGCTTGCAGCAAGTTCCAGTAATTAAGAATAGTATTGTCCTGGAGGAATAAGAACCCTTCTGCACTGCTGTATCTGGCAAATAGTTCCGGCAGATGCCTGCAAATGAAAATTNTTAAGAAGGAAAATGGTGTAAAAGTGATGGATATTATACTAGTTGACCAAAATTTTTGGGGATCAATCANTAGCATTAATATATTGTTTTAATCATCCATATATAGGTTTCTTCAAACTAAATTAACCTTTTACCATTCAGCAGTAATGGCCCCCCATGCATTACCAAGATTAACATTCTTCAAGCCCTCAAATTTTCTTTTGCAAACAACAGACATAAATGGGTGATAGAGAAGACGAGTTTTGCTGTTCGTTTACCTTGTCCGTGATCCAGAGCTTAAGCTTGTCTGCTTGCAGCAAGTTCCAGTAATTAAGAATAGTATTGTCCTGGAGGAATAAGAACCCTTCTGCACTGCTGTATCTGACAAATAGTTCCGGCAGATGCCTGCAAATGAAATTTGGCAATGTTACAAGGGGAGAAAACGAAAAAAAAAAATGCAAAACTTTATGAATCAATAGAACAAATTGCCAATACCCCAAATCNGCAAATAGTTCCGGCAGATGCCTGCAAATGAAAATTGGCAATGTTACAAGGGGAGAAAACGAAAAAAAAAAATGCAAAACTTTATGAATCAATAGAACAAATTGCCAGTACCCCAAATCAAATTAAAAACATTGAACAAAAAGCTCCCCTTCAGTGATAAGCACCTAAGGATGCATTTGTCAATGAAAAAGCCAGATCACATCCGGCACCACAAGAAAAAAGCCACATCTTGGAAGCAGTTTTGGAAATCTCACACTATCACATCCCCATATAACAAGGATCTTGAGCGTCAGTTCAGTTGATCCTAAATCCCAGTCATCTTTAACCCAAGGTAGTTAAAAATTGAATGTTGGGACCTGGCCAAGTTTCATGCGTTATTATGACAATAAATCTAACGTAACATAAATTGAGGTTTCGAACTCAAAGTTTATTCAGGTAACCCAAAAGTTGGGGCAGGGATTTAGAGTAGTGGGATATGAAAGGTTGAAAGGTGTGGTGTGCAATATCCCACCTCTACCACACATCAAAAAAATGAGAAACAAGTTCATTTAACGTTTTTTGAAAAAGAAGACCAAAATTAGATAAAGATACTCGGAAACTTTATCCAAAAACATAAATAATACAAATTGAGCCAATTTCAAAATATGCAAACAAGTGGAAATATTTGAAATCAAAGTAACCTGTGCCATGACAAAGTCTTCTTTGTAATTGACATGCTTCATTGCCTAGAATATACACGTATTCATATCCTAGAACACAACTCATCCTCATATTGTGGCTCCCCTTAACCTCTACTTAGCTATGCAAATGAACAAAGAAACCAGAAACTAATTCAGCAAAACACAAGAAATGGGAGCTGAAAAAAGAATTGAAGTAACTCACTTGTATACATGGTCCAACTGCCCTTCCTCAACAGCAAGATCTACATTCTTCTGCTCTGACAAAATAATCACAGTTTTAAATATCCTGCCATAAAGCAATCTCCATTCCAAAGCTGTATGTTCAACAGGTCCACTGCAGAACATTATAAGCACAACATTCCCAAAATTCTTCCTCCACCGAATCAAATTTCCAATTTCGTAATTCACCGTTCCTATTTCCTCGACCCCAAGATGAACAGATGGTAGCTTTCGAGGAATAAACTCCTTCCGATCCCCATGTCCAATTTGTGCCCGTGGCCGATCCAATTCAAATGACATTAGCCTTGGCTGCTGGTACCCAACAGCGAGCAAGTCCTGAAGCCAAGCAGCTGTAAACTTCACATCTTTCTCAGTCCAAAATCCTTCCTCAGCCATCACATAGCTTAACTCCAAGATTTTTTCAAACAATCTATGCTTACCCGATCTCCATGCAATCAAGAACTTAATCAGACGACCTACATTCACATGAAGATCTTTCTCCTCAGAAAATGGATACGCTTCAATTTTATCATACCTATGAACCGTAGGAGGATAAACAACAACATAGCCGCCAATTTCCCACAAAAGCCTTTGTGCCCAATAACCCCTCAAAACGTCAGAAGCCATTGTACTAATCGAAACAGGAAGCATCAAACCCCAAAATGCAGAAGACTGATAAATGGTATTGAAAGAATTAAGTGGCACCATTATACCCTGTGGCATCGCCACTTTCTGGGCACGCTCATCAAACCTAATATCAAATGCTTCCAACCCTGATTTCCTTGTAAAATAAAAAACCGAATCCACATCTGGTAAGCCATTTGAAATCCCCTGCTGAATAAACTGTTTTCCACCAAACACCTCAGTATAAAACTCCTCATGCCCTATTTCACCTACATTTTCCAATGGCAACCCCCTGGGCCAAACTGAGCGTTGGCCAAAATGAATATACGGATTCACAACAGTCCTATTAGGATTTTCATGACTATATTGCAATATAACCTCTTGTCTGGCACTTTCACCAACCAACTCAACATCAAAATGCTTACCAATATCATTATCAATCACCTCACCACGATCATCAGCATCAAAGATTTTCTTAGCACCATGTTGTATAGCAAATAAATAGCCAACAGTTTTTCTAACATATGAATCATAAGGCAAGTAATCAACAACTCTAAAACCCAAATTAGCTTGCAATTCCAAAGAGAGAAAGATAGTACCTTTAAGACTCCAATCTTTAGGAGTCTTGGAATTCCCAACTGCCAAGACTTGCCACCCTCTGATCTTTGCCAAATTCCGAAGGGAATCGGAGGGGTAATCCGAAACAGAGACGATGATCCACTTCTCGGATCGGAAATTCGAGAAGGGTGTGGATTTATCTGAAATGGGTGGAATTGAATTCCAATTGATTTGGGGGAATTGGAGGCTCTGGAGGTGCTTGGACTGCTGGGATTGGAGGCAGAGGAGCGTGGCGGTGTCGCCGGAATTCCGGAGGAAGAAGAGGGCGGCGATGGTGGCTATTAGAAAGAGGATTGTGAGAATTTTGTAGAGGTTTTCGGATACCCATGTGGAGAAATCAAGGTTTTTGGACTCGGAGAAACGATTGGGGTGAAGGATTGGGGGGTTTCTCTTCTGGGTTTCGGCGGATTTGGGGGATATACGATCTTGGACCAACATTGAATCCCACCCCGAAAAACCCACACACACACTGTACTTCTCTTCGATTTCGAGTCTCTTTGTCAGTCTAAAGCATTGACTTTGTTTTACATGCTCAGTCTAGAGTTCCCTCTCTATCTTTCTCTCTAAAACGCAGACAGCCTGTGGGTGTTCGAGCTCAGCTGGTTGTGGTTGCCGACATGTATGGTTATGTTGGAAATGTGATTTCTTATGCTTGAATGCAACATTGTAACTGCTAGTAGTTTGGTGAAGTGGGTGATTTGTCTTGTAGTTTTTTAAGTATTAGTTTCTTTAATTTGTGATCCGGTACTCCCCTTTTTTAATTTGTGACCTTTTATTTTTATTTTTTTAGCGGTACAGATGTCTAAGTTAACTTTTGTCTTAATTAATTTAAAAAAAATAGCAAGCTCAAAAAAAAAAAAAAGAATAAAGACAAGAATATAAAAAAAAATTCTTTATAAAATATAAAACAAAATAGTTTAGGGTTCTAAGTTGAGAATTAATGGGAGACACACAACTAAAGCCAAAGTCAAAATAGTTTTCCAATGGGGCAAAATAATAATTAATGAATATTTTTTATTTTGTTGGAATCTAAAAAATTAGTTTCTCCGTAAAAAGTTTTTTTTTATTATAGAGTGTTCAAATTTTCATCGAATATTCTCTCAAACTCAATGATTGTCATCGTAGTTTGAGCTAATATATAATATATTCCTAGAAGAAACANATTTTTTTTTATTATAGGGTGTTCAAATTTTCATCGAATATTCTCTCAAACTCAATGATTGTCATCGTAGTTTGAGCTAATATATAATATATTCCCAGAAGAAACAAGGGTGGCTAACTTGGTGGGAAAGAATTAAACCTAAGACCTAACCAANGTTTTTTTTTATTATAGAGTGTTCAAATTTTCATCGAATATTCTCTCAAACTCAATGATTGTCATCGTAGTTTGAGCTAATATATAATATATTCCTAGAAGAAACAAGGGTGGCTAACTTGGTGGGAAAGAATTAAACCTAAGACCTAACCAAAAGAAAAATTCAACTACAAAATCACATGTAAGGATTATCGTGAAAAAATTATCAAGAATAAGGTTACAGAGAAAAAGACTCGTAAAATGCAAATAACACAAGGTTCAATTAACTTGGAAAAATAAATAAAAATATTTGTTGAATTAATTAAAGGATTGTTAATTTATTTATTTTTATTATTTGTATTGTTAATTTTCAGTTTATAAAAAACTATTGGTGTGAGATTGGTTACGAGTGTGAGATCAGTTATGAGAAATTGAAATCTTAGACTTAATCTCGACTTCAAATTTTTGATTCATATATTATACAAGTCAAACACGAACACGACATGCAATGCAAATAAATAGATCAGTGTGACATGATTAGTTGAACAAGATAAATTAATATTCACTAATGCTCGATACGAATTCGAGGTGACACAAGATAATTGCCAACCCTACGATATCCGTGTTGCAATACCCATCAGTCTTAGAAGTTAGAAATCCTCCTCTCATTTATTTGGGCAACCAAGAGTCTGGAANCAATTGCCAACCCTACGCGATATCCGTGTTGCAATACCCATCAGTCTTAGAAGTTAGAAATCCTCCTCTCATTTATTTGGGCAACCAAGAGTCTGGAAGCCTGGTGGATTTGGGTGAACCTGAGGGCGATGGGTGACTGACTGGTTGAATCAAATGGTAAAGGGTGGTGGTTGTGGACCAGAGCCTCCATGTCAACCATGAGATATATGATACCATTGCCAACATGAGAAGCAACCTTTGCAGAAGAGTAAAATCCACATTTGGTATCTTTGGTTTGGTCGAGCAGTGGTATACGTTGATTTCAAAATCATTTTTTTTTTTATATTCCAATAAATCACGAACCATACTAATGTTAGANGACCTTGTATAAAATCGTCTCTCTATTCAAGAGAGTAAATCTATGGGCGGTGGTCCCAAGGAATTATTTTTCATGAGATATTCGAACTCTAGACTTACCCTTCATAAGAAGTTTATCAAGTGATTGATAGATCTACTGCTAAACTAACGCTTTAGAATTTCAGGGTGTGATATTAAATCAACCCTGATTAGCATNGATATTCCAATAAATCACGAACCATACTAATGTTAGACCTTGTATTAAATCGTCTCTCTATTCAAGGGAGTAAATCTATGGGCGGTGGTCCTAAGGAATTATTTTTCATGAGATATTCGAACTCTTGACTTACACTTCATAAGAAATTTATCAACTGATTGATAGATCTACCGCTAAACTAACGCTTTAGAATTTCAGGGTGTGATATTAAATCAACCCTGATTAGCATTAGGTGCTATTTGAGAATGGTGGAAGGTGGACACAATTTCCATGATTAGTGTTGCTGGAGGTGAATCAAGGCTCAATATGATCTATGGCAACCATAGGCTAAGTCCAATCCAACTTAACCCAAGGCTCAACATATCTAGCCATTGCCATTCATAACTACAACAATATGAGCTACACATAGGTAGATAAATAGATATAGATAGGCAAAGAACCTATCATAACTCCAACAATTATATATATGAGATACACATAGNCCAACTTAACCCAAGGCTCAACATATCTAGCCTTTGCCATTCATAACTTCAACAATATGAGCTACACATAGGTAGATAAATAGATCTAGATAGGCAAAGAACCTATCATAACTCCAACAATTATATATATGAGATACACATAGGTAGATAAATAGATTTAGATAGGCAAAGTAAAATAGTACTACAATAAATTCTTAGTATTAAATTCAGAAATAAGTAAAATTTTAAATAATACTATAGTAGAGTCTAGAGATACATCCTACTTTGAAGACATATTCCCCCTCAAAACTAGAATTACAAACCCTAGTTAATGATAAACTATGACATTTGCTAGTGAGAGGCCATCTACTATTAGTAACAAAGAAATAGAACCTCAAGCATAACTTAGAAGAAGTAAAAGACAAAAGATTGAGAAAAACTTAGGAGATGGCATTTATGCTTTCTTAATCAAAGGAGACCCAACCACACACAAAGAGGCCATGCCTCCATAGATGTCCATTTTTGGAAAGAAGCCATAAACGATAAGTTCCAATCCATAATACAAAATAACACTTGGATTTTAACCGATCTACCATCTGGTAATAAACCAAAAGGTTGTAAGTGGATATTTAAGAAGAAGTTTAAACCTGATAGTAGTATAGACAAGTATAAGGCTAGGCTAGTGGCAAAAAGATTTACTTAAAGANAATAACACTTGGATTTTAACCGATCTACCATCTGGTAATAAACCAAAAGGTTGTAAGTGGATATTTAAGAAGAAGTTTAAACCTGATAGTAGTATAGACAAGTATAAGGCTAGGCTAGTGGCAAAAAGATTTACTTAAAGAAAAGGGGTAGATTGCGCTAATACCTATTCACCGATATCTAAAATTACAAATATATAAAATTCTAGTTGTCCTAGCTTCTATACATAACCTAGTCATCCATCAAATGGACGTTAAGACCGTATTCTTGAATGGAGACTTAGATGAAGAGATTTATATGGAGCAACCTAAAGGATATATAATCAAAGAACAAAAACATAAAGTGTGTAAATTAGTCAAATCTATA